CTAAACACACTGGCCTCTGCTCTAATCCCAGGCTCCCGGCAGCTGGAGTCCGGCACTGTGTCTCCATGTGATTGTGTGATGCCTCCTCCAGCCATGTGGAACACTTCCTATGGCAGAAATTGCTTTTTAGTTAAAACTCATTCACATTTCCAGGTGAATGTTCAGAAAAAGTTTCAGATACATTAAGGAAGTTGCAAAGCAGGGGTTGCCCATCTCAGATCTAACATTGCTCTGTGACTCAGGCATTTTGCGCACACACACACACACACACACACACACACACACACTACACTCCTGAGAACATATGGTCAGAATGACACAGGCCCAGGTGGGTCTCCCCTGCTCCACTCATTTCTGTGCTTAGAGCCCATGGAACACAGGCAAATCAATTTCAAAACAACCTCAAGAAAAAATAAATTAGGACGATTAATACTAATCTGTAAGACAATTCCCAGTAGGAATGGCTGTTTGTTGTTTTTTTTGTTTTGTTTTGTTTTTAGATATCCTCTCCTTTGGACTCTTCATGCTGACACACATCCAATTTCTACCAAGAGAGGCTGGTATGCTGTGGTTTACACACACACACTCACACACACACACACATACACACACATACACACACACACCTCGTACATATCCTCCCAGAAGCCAATGGCAGAGCCAGCCCAACTTCACTTAACCAACATCCACAGTGTGCTCAGCCCCTTGGCTGTGAACAGTTTACCTCGCAAAACACCCGGGGAAGATGCAGTCACCAAATGAAAGGCACAATGACACCTCAAGTGGAAGTTTATGATGCTTTGGTCCGCCATGAACATTAGTCTCTCCCACTAATGTCAGGCAGTAATTCACTGCTGAACAGCAGCCATAAAATATGATCACTTAGTGGTAGGAAAGCAAAAGGCAAAGGAAAAAAAGAAGGAATGGGTTCCAGCTGAGATACTTAAGCAAAGAGATCTTGTCCTTCAGAGGCAGCACTGACCTCATTGCCCCAACTTGGGTCAAAGGTTTCCAGATTTATACAGACAACCTAAAGCACACTGGGACGGTGTTTGCCTTAAGATTTTTACCTGTCATTGGCATTTTAATAGTTTGTTGGTTATTTTCACATTCCCAGGCACCTCCTGATGATGGTAGCATTTATATACCACGTTACTTAACAGCCAGTGCCTTTAACACACACCATGGGAAAGGCTGCCAACACCAGCCGTAACACACACACACACACACACACACACATCACACGTCAGAAAATATAAAAGACATCCAAATTAGCACTCTCCTCACCTCCTTTTCCCCTGCCTTATGTGATGTGTGCACTAAAGGAGTAAAATTATGGTCTTCGGAGGCAAGGTTGCAAATGATGGGAACCCACAGCTTTCAAACAAAACAAAAAGTCAGTAATTTTGAGGATAGCCCATGGCTAGCTACAGTCTAGCTCCTGGTCCCCAGAAACCCACAGTGAACTCCCTTCCTCTCAGCAAACCCCCAAGCGCCCTTTGCCTACCCTCCCTACCTTGAGTCCCTTGTCATATTGCAAAGAACTCTGCAAGGCCCTTGTACACACAGGAGATTATTACGGGGCTCAGGGAAGCCAGCTCTGTAATCACAGCTCCAGTATGATTTCCATTCTTCTCCCTTTCAGCAGCTCACAAGCCTTCCTGCAGAATCCTGCAGCCCCACTGCTTTCTGTGGCTGGGCCTCTGCCCAGAGGTGACTGCGGTCCTGATAACCTCTGGGAAAAAGCAAGGCAGGGCGATTATGAGGAAAGGGGAGTGGTGCGCAGCGAGCAAGGGTGGTGGGGAATTCTATTGTTTAGGAAAAATAAATAAACTGGCCAGTTTTGCTTTTTATTATTTCAAACAACAGACTCGGCGGGCCAGCCTTCCTTTCCCAACTCAGCCTGTCCCCGTGGGCGGGCTGCTGAGTCGGCAGCAACAGGAGCTGGGCCCCAGCGAAACTGTTAGAGAGGCTGCCCCTCTGAGCCCTTGGAGCAGAAAGGCTGGCGGTTCTGATGGCCAGGCCTCCCCAGGAGGGCCGCTGGCTCATCCTACTCCCCTCCCACCTTGCCCACCCCCAATGAATCTCTGCTCTTACTTTTCAAATGTCTATGCTTCACCAGTCCCAGTCCCACCACTGCTCTGGAAATTAAACGTAATATCCCAGGTGGCTGAAATGGACCTGTTCTTACACAAACCCCTCCCCAAATAAAAAATGGGAAATGCCAGGCTGCAGTTTATAAAGTCTGCTGGTCAGGTGTCGCCTGTCATTGCTGATTTGGCTCACATCTGGGGACACATCAAGGCTAGGCTCTCCCACAGCCTTCCCTCTGGGGGTGGTCTCTGTGCACTTTGCTCCCCCAGGTTCTGGGGGTGCCCTCAGTCCATGGTTATGAAGATGTGCTCCACACTGACATCCCCACCAGGAGACAAGCTCCGACGAGAGAGAGAGAGAGAGAGAGAGAGAGAGAGAGAGAGAGAGAGAGAGAGAGAGAGCGCGAGCGCGCGCGAGCGCGCGCCCATTAGCCCCAGTCTCCCTCTGACCTACAGTACACACCTGCAAGCTGTCTGTGGTGGGTTTATGATGCAGCCATGGCCAGGAATCATACCCCCGCTCTCTGCCCAAAGGGAATAGAACTGCCTGTTCTGTTATGTGCACTGAACTTCCAATGTTTATGTCACTGACACCATATTCCAAGCTGCTCTGACAATAGCAAAAAAGAAATTTAAAAAATCCTTCTACAGGGTCTGCTTGGTCTTGCCAGCAAGTCAGTGATCCTCTGGCACCTGGTAGGAAATTTGGGGTATGGAATCTTTTCGTGTCTTGGAATAAGTTACTTCTTCATTGCCTGAGATTAGGCTCAGTAGAGAAAAGAGCTCCAGCACCCCACATTGCTTTGCTTCTTTATTCTCAATAGCACTTATTCACCCATTGAGTGGCAATGCAGGCCAAATGTATGAATTCACCATTTAAACTGTAAATTCACTTTTCCAGCAAACCAAACTTATTGAGTCATGGTGCAGAATGCAGTCATTGGAGCAGCCAAAGGAAATGTCCTCAAAGTCCAGTGGTCTGAAGGTCGTGCATGCACTTTTTTGGTTTATTCAGAGGCTTATGAGACATAATTTCAGCAAGTGTGGGGATCTGCTTTCCTAGACCATTGAGAACTGGAAGCCACAGGTGGCAAAGGAGGAAAGGCCCTGAAGTCGACCAGGACTCCTCACAGTGGGTGGAAGTGACGGGTGACAGCTCAGAGTAGTGGGAAAACCCAGAAGGCTGCAATGGACACAGGAGTTGTGCGGCGACAACACACCTACGCCTTGCAGCATCTTCTCTGGGCGTCCATGGAATTCAGCTCAATACATGAGTAATCAACAACAAAAAGGCCAGTGCAGCAAGAAAACATTCATTTGTGTTTAATATACTCTTTGCAAAAAGGCGAGGAACTACAAAATATAATTCTTTTTATTTTAAATATATTTTATTGATTTTTTACCGAGAGGAATAGAGAGTCAGAAACATAGATGAGAGAGAAACATCGATCAGCTTCCTCCTGCATCCCCCCTTCACCAGAGATGTGCCCACAACCAAGGCACATACCCCCAACTGGAATCGAACCCAGGGCCCTTCAGTCCAAAGGCCGACTCTCTATCCACAGAGCCAAACTGGTCAGGGTACAAAATATAATTCTTAAAGCTATACAAACGATGGTTAAATTATCTGTTAATTTGACCCTTGCTATGTGTTACCTCTTGAGAGGCAATGTGAGATGCGTGATGCTTTGTCTATATCCTCCTTGCAGAGTGCATGGCATTTCACCAACAGTTTTCCCTTCCAGATAAGATGCACAACTACTGTACACACACACACCCAGCTCATGCACCCTCTGCTCCCCGCCTCTCACCTCTGCACTCTCACATCCCAGACCCACTGCCTGTGCCACAGAGCTGTACCATTTAAAGAAAAAAGTAATTGCTGGAAAGGGCTGCAACACAGTAGGCTGAAAGAGTGGGCACAGCCTTCTAGATGTGCAGAGAACATCTCCCCTTGACCATCTTGAGCGAATGCCGGAAACACAGCAACAAGAAGGGAGGGATCAAGGCTCCCTTAGATCAGGTAGTGCTGGCTTTACCAGTCTGAGTCCCACAATGTCCAGCGAATCCCAATGGAATAAATAAATAAAATAAAACCAGCAGGAGCTCCACATGGCGCCACCAATATTTTCCCTGGGACAAGACTGAAATACGCTTATCAGCCAACACAAAACAGGACCCCCTTCCTATAGTCTTAGAAAGCCTCTTAGTCCACGCAAGGAGGGCACCCTACGGAGCCAGCTCCAGCTCCCTGAGTAAGAAGCCTGAGCAGAGCTGGATGAGGGGCTCAGGTGGCCCAACCATGCTGATGGGCCAGCATCACGAAGTGCTACTGAAGCCAGCAGGTCTCTGAAGAGTGAGGAGGAAAGCTCGTATCCCCAGATCACACCGTTCTACTCCACCTTAAGCAACTGCATTGTGCACCACAACATCCTACATTTCCTTGTCCCACAATTTGGCTCTTAACTCCAATAGCAACTCCAATAGTTACTGCACTTTCCTCCATTTCCCTGAATGGATTCCAGATGGATGTATAAGCCAGAAGGGCTAAAGCAAGAGGAGCAGGCACCTCCCTTACCTCTGTGCACCTTCCCAACCAACCAGGCCTATTATGCTCTTGTCTTAGGCGCAAACCCAAGTTAAAGCGAGCACACACACCATTTAGGATGGCCAGTGAGACTGGGGTGGGAAGAGGTGAATGCATCCTCCCCCAGTATAATTGATTCCCACAACAACCATAGTACAAAGGCAGAGAAGAGACAAGCTGATCATTCATAACCTCAATAGCAACATATCTCCATAACGCTCACCCACCAGGCCACGGTGGCAAAAGAGCATAGATAACATCTTCCCCAGCAGGGACAGACTGTCTTCGCAATAACTGAAATGAGTGCACCTTGTTCCTACCTTTTTCAGCTTGCCACTTTTGGTGCCCACGAAGGCCAAGGAGTGGTTCTTGTAGACATAGGCAATGACAGAAGTCATGCGGTCCCTGTCCTCTGTGAAGACAGGGATCCCACGGATCATCTCGGATACTCCCAGGGGCGCATTCATATCCAGGCCACAGAAGTTATCATCAATAGTTAAGAGCTGAAAAATTTAAAAGGAGAAAAATTAGGAGGGAGCATTGGGGCGATTTGCAGAGGTACTGAGTCAGGGAACTATAGAGCTAGAAGAATCCTTAGATTGGTATAAATCCCTATTTTTTACATGGAACACTCAGTCCAGAAAAATTAGATGACATGTCAACAGTTATATAAGTAGGTGTTAGTACCATGGTAAAAATCAATAAAAATAAAAAACCCACACACAAATTCTTAGAGCCTCTTTTCACCACACTCCCATGGTCTCTCCTGGGATCACTCCAGGGCCCCCTGCAATCACTCCAGGTGCCATCTCAGTAGCTTCGATTGCCTTTTGCCACCATCACATCAGAAAGCACTGGGCCAGCACCTATGAGCATGGGCTGTAGACAGCTGGGCTCAGGCATGAGGAGGATGTGGTCTCCGCTGCTACACACCTGATGTTAAAGGGTCTCCACAAATGAGGCCTTACAAGTGTAGAATGGAGAATTAGAAACATTAATACAGGAATGGCAAGACTATGATGGAGACATGTACAGACAGTTGGTTCAGGAGAGGGGAATGGAAGGAATGGAAAGTTTGTGTATGAACTCAACAAGCCATTGTAAAGCCTCACCCTGCCCAATCTTAGACCCCCTGCTTCTTTCAGAGCTCTGGCCCTGTCATCCCTACACCACCATTTCCCAAAGTGTCTTTGGTGGAACCCAAACCCCAGGATGTTCTATCACAAAAGGGTTCCTTGGGCACATAATTTTGAGAAAGAGTATATTCTAACACCATTGTAAGGCATTCACAATGATTAGCTGTAGAAAAAGGTATAAAGTATTTTTAAGAAGAAATGTTTAATATTATCTAATCCTTTCCCAAACATTTTATTCCCTAAACCAGTGGTCGGCAAACAGCGGCTTGAGAGCCACATATGGCTCTTTGGCCCCTTCATTGTGACTCTTCCACAAAATACCATGGCCTGGGCAAGTCTATTTTGAAGAAGTGGCATTAGAAGAAGTTTAAGCTTAAAAAATGTGGCTCTCAAAAGCAATTTCAATCCTTGTACTGTTGATATTTAGCTCTGTTGACTAATGAGTTTGCCAACCACTGCCCTAAACCATGTTAGACCAGAACACCTACTGGCATTCCTTAAAGAGAATAGTCCGTGGATATCCCATGGCACACACTGACCCAACTCTTGCTCCTGACTCCAGGGCAATCTCAGAACTCAGGGAACCAACAGGAAAAGGCTTCGGGCTGGTTTCCTTTACAGTGTTTCAGCTGCATTCTTCCTGTTTTATTCCAGGCCACCGGGTCCTCACGCAAGCACAGGGTCCCAGCTGAGATCAGACCTTCTAGAGCGTGGTGAGGACTGACTACGGCTGGTGAGAAAGCCCCAGTGCCCCACCAAGCCGCTTCGGCTTGGCATAAGCTGTCCTGGGCGCTAGGAACTGATGCTGGATTTTCCCCTTTCTTGGGAGAACTGTGTGGTCTTAGGAGAGTTTTTCCACATTCTGTTCTTTTATTTTCCACTCTATAAAATATGGGAGAAACAACCCCTGCTTTTTGATGGGCTTCCATAAAGCCTATAGAGCTCATGCCTGTAAACGTCTTTGGACTTTTCAGAAAAAAGGAATAAAATAAAATACAAGGTGTCACTGTTTTAAAGGCCTCAGTGCAGCCGAAGGAGAGGCATCTGGAGAACCAGTGGGCAGGCTCTTGCCAGGAGCTGTGTGACCATGGCCAACTCTGAGCTGTGCAGGGCTGTGGGGCCCTTAGCTCCCTCCCAGAAGAAGGGGGACAGGCATTGTTCATCTCAGGGAGGACAACGTGCTGCATTTCAATCCTCTTTCTGCCATCTCCCCTTCTTATGGTGGTGGGGGGCAGTCAGACCGGGGAGGGCGAGCCTGGGCAGGCCCAGCAAGCTCTGTGCATTGCAGGCATCTGCCCCACGCCTTGGACCACCTGTGTCTCTCTTGCGTGGCTTGGTCCAATACCCCCAGATCAAACACAACTTCCTCCCCCCTCCAAAAAATAACAATAATTATAGGAATACAAGTTAGGAGCAAGTTTTCAAGGCCTAGTCTGATCTTTATGGTTCTTCCCTGAAATGAGAAAATGGGGACCAAGAAAATGGTGGAGTGTGAAAGGGATGGGTAGAAAAGAGGAAGAAAAACCTGGGCCAAGGGAAGACAATGTCCTCTCCCTGTTGGATCATCTCAGTGACCTGCCTGGCATTGCAAGGGCAGCCGAGTACATGCTAGGAACCCTAATGGCCTGTGTGCTCCTGGTTCATAAAGAGGGCTCATTCCCAACTTTCTCAACCCTAAACTGGGCTGCAGGGACCTCTGCCATCAGCAAATGTGTCTTGCCCATCATGACCATCTTCTAAATAGATGAGGCTGAATGACTATTTGCTCTGCACAGGGAGAAACTGAGTCAGGGAGCAAAGCAGCCCATGTTTCACAGTCTCCCACCACCCCTGGCACGAACATGTACCTCATTGGCCCAGGATTACATTTCTAAGTGGTTGGTTCCTGAAAACCATTCTTTCCTTTGGCCGGGCAGGACACAATCAAATAAATAAACAACCACCTACAAGAAGACAGTATGCATTTGAGCACCTGCACCAATGAATCATTGGTTGCTCAGAGGCAGGAAGTTAGGGACCTTTGAACTCCTGCTGCTGTGGCACCGGCATGACAAGGGGCCGGGAGAGGTATGTTTTCATCAGAAGGAAGTGAGGTCAGCTCAGCCGGTCAGCCTGAGGGCTCTGTGCTGTCTTCAGTTCATAACACCTCCCTTTGAGGCCCACGAGGATCCAGGTCTCAGTCTCCTCACCTGCAGTAGACAGTCATCCCCTCCCTACTGCCTGCCTCCAGGTGCCATGGCCAGGTTCTAAAGACTGCAGCTGGGACGCCTAATGTGGGGACTGCATTCCAAGGACAATGGTGGCTTTCTCCCCAGGCTCCCCTGTGCCAGGCGGTAAAAAGGTGATTGGGGCCTTTGACAGGCACAGCCCAGATCTGCATGGCTGTTGAGGTCTCCCAGCTGTGGCATGAGGTGGTCTTACTGTTTGCTCAAAGCTGTGGCAGTGGGGAGGGGTTTTTAGCCTTGAAGTAGTGGAAAGCACATAGGTCTCGGGTTCCATAGCAGCTCAGCAGCTTCTCAACTGACCAGCTGGGCACAGGCCCCTCCTGTTCTCTGATTCTCATTTTCCTTGCCTATAAAATTGCAAGACAGGACCGTTGCAAGGTCTCGGTGCAGTAACAGGTGTGAAGGCACCTGATAAACAGGAAAGAGTGTCATCAATGCAAGCTGGTGTTTCACATTCTTTTTTTTTTTCCAATGGAAATCTGCCCAGAACAGGGGTCTCATGGCAGCTGGAAATGGCCCTCACGTGCCTCCTGACTAGAGCACGGCTCTCCATGGACACAACCCACCAGGTCTGAGCTATAGCTGCAGGAAAATGACAGCACTGGGAGGAGAAGGCAGAGGTCCCATGGGCCCACAGAGCAAGGTATAAGGAGCAGAGGCCAGGACATGTGGGCCCTAGAAGGGAAGGCTAATTGGAGAAAGCTTTCACAGGTGAGGGCTGGCCGGGATTCCTGAGCACCCTGGGCAAGCAGCAAGGATAGTCTCTGCTCCAGCCCTGGCTGAGCCCTCCCCTGGGCCCCATTAACAGCAAGATTAGAGCAGCCGCTGGAGGAGCCAGGAAGGGACTCACCTTGGCTATAATAAGGAGCCTAGCCTCGCCTGTAGGCTCACATCGCACCCGTTCCTCCCACCACATCACAAATACCCATGAGTGTGCTGTGGCCACTGTTATAATGACTGTTTATTAGAGAGCAACTTGATTCTTACAAAGGAAAGAAATAGGGTCTGTTTCATGGGAATATATGTGGTCCCTACTTGGGCAACCCTGTGAACAGATACCGTGTTTCCCTGAAAATAAGACATCCTCCGAAAATAAGACCTAGCGCATGGAAAGATAAGACATCCCCTGAAAATAAGACCTAGCGCAACTTTGGGAGAAAAAATTAATATAAAACACTGTCTTATTTTCGGGGAAACAGGGTAGTAGGGTCACACCCTCCAGGGCCCCTCTACCCCAATCAGGAGGATACCAAATCCGCTTTCCACAAATATCCTCATGGGATATATGGGTCATAAATTAAGGCTGATGACCCACTGGATTCCAGGGTCCATGCGCACAAGGATGGGACCATGTTTTATGCATCTTTGTACCATTAGCTTAGTTGCAAGTTCATAGTAGGTCAAAACATATGTGTTAAATGGATAAATGGATGATAGATGACTAAATAAAAGCCTGACTTTCACAATGGCTAACACTTTGGAATTAGAACCAAAATGCTTAGGTTTGAATTCCAGTTCTACCACTTAATGCTGTGTGACTTGGGCAACTTATTTAAGCTCTTTGTGCCTCTGTTTATCATGGGTAGAATAGGGATATTAATACCAGTATATACTGCTGTGAGGACAATGTCTGGCATTTAATAAGGGCTATGGGAGTGTCCACGCTTAATAATGTTTGTCATAGACAATTCAGACAACCTTGGTGAGTTGGTGACTGGGGAAATTCATCACATCTACCTCAGAGAGGTGTTATTAAGATGAAAGGAGCTAATGATATCAAGATGAAATAGCAAAGGTGGAACTTCCCAAAGATCTATCAGATCAATGAGGTTGAAGGGAAGAGCAGAAGAAAGATCTAAGATCCAGAAGATTTAGCACTATTCATTAGAAATGAAAATTCTCGGGCCCCACTGAGACCTACTGGATCAGAAACACTGGGGAGGGGCTCAGAGATCTTCATCTTATCACCCTCCCAAGTGATTCTGCTACACGCTAACATTGGAGAAGCACTGGTCTGGTTCACCATGGAGGTCTCTTCCTAGCTGAGGTCATGAAACCCATGCCAAGAAGAGAATGACAGGGGACAAGCATTCCTGCTCTAGAGTAGGACCCACTGGACCAGAATGTGGAGATGCCCATGGC